CTACTACTACTTGTACTACTACGTCACGGTTTTTCAATTATCACGGGTCTTCAGGGTACGGATCCCCGCGCGATAAACAAATGACTACTGTTTTTTAACTTATTAAATGTCTACATGCTTATTTTTACATATAAAATATTTCACTTCTATTTATTTATTTATTTTGCGGGCTCCCAAGTACCAGCTCGAGGACCCCCGGGGGGTCCCAGTTTGAGAACCACTGCTCTAAAAAGACGAGACAAATGAATCTTAGTTGATGAGCTCTACCTGCCATCACCTTTAACGTCTGTCAGATTAACAGGCTTTAACCTTTCGACACCAGAGGAGACACTGATATTCATTATTTGTGTAACTCACAGTTCGTCTCGTCTCTTTGCTCTGCAGGTGGAGCTCCAGCTGCCAGGAAGGAGGTGATCAGAAATAAGATCCGGGCGATTGGAAAGATGGCCCGTGTCTTCTCTGTGCTCAGGTGTGTTTTGATGTATCAGACTCTAGGATTGAATTAGAAAATTAGGTTATTAGATCAAAAGTAGAATTTTTTTTCAGACCTTTGCTCCACTTTAGTGTGGCGCTAATGACTTTTTCTTGATTTACTTCTGTCCTCTTTTAATCCCACAAAGTGTGTCATTCCTCTTCTGAAACGAGACCCAGAAATCATCACATGCACATTATTGTTGTTGAATTAAGTACCATCAGTGCAGCAGCTGCTGCTGGACGAAAGCAGGAAAAAAATCCAACACTTGGTACTGTTAACTTGTTTTAAACACTTAAACACTTGTTTTTATGTTATGTAAGAACATAACTTTTGTATTTTTATAGTTTCATGAAATTAAGAATTTTAACACAAACAACACCCACACATCTTAAGAACTGTGGGAAAAAATACACAAAATCACATAACCGCCACAAGCACACCCATGTGCGTCATCTAATCATAAAAAATATACAAACATTCTTAGTTTATTGGTTATATCTGCAAATATCTGCGATGTTTTCAAATGATAAATAGTGCTTGTTCCAGAGTAAACCGTGTTAAAGGTCATAATAAGGGGGAGTGGTGGCGCAGAGGTTAGAGAGGTGGGCCTGTGATCCAAAGATCGCCGGTTCACGCCCCGACAACATCAAAATTGTGGGTGGGGTAGGTGAAGCACCCACACTTGCCCCATCTTCATTCGCCCCACCTTGGACCCATGAGCGAGGTCCTTAACCCCCATCTGCTCCTAAACAGGTCTCTCTTGAAAATGGGTTCTCGTGGCTCAATGAGACTACCTGGATAAATAAAGGATAAATGAAAAATATATAATGCTCAGTGACTAAACTGGCAAACACAAAATAACAGAAATAGGAACACTGGTCTTTTTTTTTGTCTTTATTTGGATAAAACTGCTCGAATGATTTGAGGAAACATAAACGTGAAGTACAGAGGTCTACAGAGTCACTGTGTATTTTAATGTGTGTCTGTGGTTTTAGTTGTTGCTTTACATTTTCAGCCTATTTGCACTGATGTCCCAGATGTTATGTTTGTAGACACAACATGGCCACGAATCAAGAGATTTTAATATATATTAGCCATTTTGACAGGGATTTCTGTAGAAAAGTTATGGACAATTATCTTACCTGTTGCAGATAACTCGTTGATCGACCTCACTTTGACAAAATAAAGGTTACGTTTGACAGGTCAAAGGTCAAAGCAGATTGTGGCAGATCTTCAAAGTTTTATTGTGGTTCATACAAACCATATTTAACAAACTTTCACATCACTGCTATTTACAGAGTTCTATGAGGATTTGTAAGTGCAAATAAAGGCAGCAGCAGCTAGCAGTAGCACTTCTGGTGCAGCAATTCTAACGGCAAGTTTTACAACATTTCTGCAGAAATAACTGAATTGCACATTTGTCTGCAGTGTAAAATTTTATATAATGGCATTTTCTTGAACTGCTGTACAAAATTTAAAAACAACATAAATGCACTTTGGTCTTAGCTGTGTTTGGACTAGCCTTTAGCTCATCAGACCAACTCTCGCCATACTGAGGCTGTCCAAAAAACTATCTGCAGGTAAATGTTGAAAACTTTTCCACAAAGCTGGAATGGCTGTTCTGCCTTTTCACCCAGAAAGGTTTCGGCCGGGATTCGATCCGGCGACCTACTTGTTGAGAGGCGGCAGCTCCACCAACTGCTCCACCGTGCCACCCTTGCATTGATCTGAAGCCTTGTTTTTTTCTCCTCTGCAGATATTTATGCTCCACCTGTGTCCCAGGAGTACATGACACTTAAATAGTTACTTTACATATTTATTAGGAAACATGGTTAAACCGTAGCTATGTAAAAACTAAATGTTTGAAAGGCTCGAGTCACATTAAAAACCACTGCCTGATTAGTGCAGCTGTAATCTTACTCTATACTGCCCCCTGCTGACTAATTTATGCTGATGAACTTAGTAAAGATTTTAACTTTATTAATGGTTTTCATTTCTTTTCCGTCTCATGACGCGTTCAAAACTCTCCTGTAAATTCCTAAATTCCTACCTGACAATCTAACGGTGCCTTTACGAATCGGCATTTTCCATCGAACACCAACAACCAGCGTGTTTAAATTTTTATTGGTCTTGGGTTTAACGTCACTAGTCTGTAAATCAAAGAAGCATATGTTTTTACAGCTATAGTTCTTGCCACGTCTCTGAGATGTGTGTCCCTTTGTGTGGTCAGAGAGGAGAACGAGAGCGTGCTGCAGCTGAAGGGGCTCACCCCGACAGGAACGCTTCCTCTGGGAGTTTTGTCTGGCGGTCGACGGACCCTTCAGACGGGTGAGTGTGGCGCAGCCGAGCATCCCAACACGCACTAACCTGAGCGTCCAGCTAACACTAACTGCCCCCTCCCCGTGCCTGCACTCACAGCCAAAGACTAACTGCTGACGAACCGCCCCCCTTCCCTCACCAAAACCACAACACACACACAAACACACACACACAAGTGTAAGTGTCAGCTAGTCGAGGACTGTTCAGAGTCCCATCATGCTGCCCTAGAAAGACAGAAACCACAGAGTGGGTGTAGGCTTGTCTGTGTGCTGTGAAATAAAAGGTGTGTGTGTGTGTGTGGGGGGGGGGGGTCATTCTGTCAGTGTTAAAACCCTTCAAACTTTTGCTTTGCACATAAAAACATCAGGAGAGTTCTTATCACAGAGTGTTAGAAGTTGGTTATCTGGGATTTTAAGCAGAAAAAAAATAATTTACTGCTAAAAAGTATTTTTCTGATTGTGATGAAAGCTGTGACCCACGCACTGAACCTGGCCACCCACCCCACACAAGTACACAGCTAGTGTAACCTACCATGCAGTATATGGTTTTGTGTAGTCGGTATTTTTTATAGTTTTATTTTTTGTAGTTCTTTTTAAAATCATTTGTTTGGCTGTACAGCAACAGACTTTATTTTTCTATGATTGTTTTATATGGTTCTTTTCTTATGACTCGTTGCCTGGGGCATTTTTTATATAAAGTTTGTAATAATCATTAGGTTCATAATGTCAAACTGGGATTAAATGGAAATTAAAAGCACAACTCAGTCATTAGTAATTAAAAAAAATAAAGTGAGCAATTTTAAATACACAAATTTTAGAACTAAATTTCTAGATTTTCTTCCAATATATCATGAGATTGAATTTCAAGAGACAAGAATTCGAGCTCTGCAGTTATCGATGCAGTCTGTTCACATTTTGATGCACCCCATCACACGTGATCTGACAGGGTCAAGATAAATGACCTTGTCCACACAGAAACACAGTTTTTCCCAAAACTTTTGTTGTTTCTAAAAAAATCTCTGTAAACTTGGCACTATTTCTCAACATCTACACTGAAATGGTAAATGGACTGTACTTACATAGCACCTTTCTATCTTATCAAGATCCTCAAAGCTCTTTTCAACATAATCTGTTCCATCATTTACCCATTCATGCACTCCACTATATCTGTACAAAGAATAATCAGTGCTTTATCACATTCATACACTGATGGGACAAACATTGGAGGCGATGAGGGGTTCAGTGTCTTGCCCAGGGACACTTCGGCATGTGACTGCTGATGGAATCGAACCCCCAACTCTTGCATTAGAGGACAACTGCTCTAACCACTCAGCCACAGCCGCCCTGGAAACACTGGATTTGATCCAAAGAGTTGTAGTAACTCTGCCAAGCCTTTAGGTGGCCCTCTAACACCTCCATAATAAAACACTAAAAACAGGAAACAAGGCTGGGTCTTAAAGCCTGCATGTGGGGGCTGATCACAAGAAGGGTTGTGATTATGGGTTAGGCTATAGGTGCAGCTATGGCATCCTAGTTTTCAAAAAGTTGTGTTTTGCCTGTTTACACAAAAACACGAGTGGCGTTTTAAGATTTTTCCCTCTGGAACCTGTTTTTGAAAAACGTTGGTCATCCTAAAACGCTGTTTATATGTGGATGCATGGATGTAATGATTAGGGCAGTATTTGTCTAATTGTCTTTTTTTTAAATGGGCAATAAAGCCGCAAACTGTTCGTCTTTCTGTTTTATTAGATCACCTGACAGAGTTTTAAGCCTCTCGCTCTTTGCTGTCATATTTACATTCACATTTTAAGAATTTATGATTGTCATAACAAAGTCAATGAGTTCAATAGAACATGTACTCATCAAATTGGTGGGTTTTTTTTTTTTAAGTCCTGAGTTTAATATTTTTTAAAGATCTTGAACTGTAAAAAAACAAACTAATCTGCTGTCACGTTTGTAAGTCTGATGGTGTTTTTGTCCTTTTAGGGCAGCATGTACTCGACAGTCATTCCTCTGTCCTCTCATGAACTCTGATCGTGATAATTGTTATAACTGAGCTCTAATTTGGTGGTGGGGTTGTACAATGATTGACTCCATGTTAACAGGACTGATTGCAGTGATAACGTGACTGTCTGAATGCATTGATCTCTAACAATACCACTTTTTCTCCATTGTTTTGTTCTTCTTTTTGTTTTGGGCATGGCACTGCTACTCACGCTTACACAGCCACCGTAGAGGCAGAAGAGGCACGAGGTATGCAACCCTGTCTATTTGTCTCCATGTCCGTCTGTCCTCGTGTTACAATGTGTCTATGACTCTGGAAGCTTATCTGTTTAGAATTAAAACAAACAAACAGGCAGACTGGATGTAACATTTGCTCTGTAAGCATCTCTTGGATCTGGGCCAACAGAGAGTTGGTGCTCCTCATCCTCCATTCTACTTCATTCAGTCTTTATGTCCCGTCTTAAACTTTTAACTTTAACCTGCTAACTGAGACCTCTAGACTTATATGGTGCTGTTTGTCTTTCTGCTATTCATTAGGGATGCAGGGAGACACTTTTTTCACTTCCGATACAGATATCTGGGGGGTTTAATATCTGCCGATACCGATTCGATACCGATCTGATACAGGAAAAACTGCTGAATTAACTTAAAGCGTTTGTTTTTTAAACAGACATAAATGTACTGAATTACAAATTTATTGAAATCTCTGCACCAGTACAGCACACTTAGACACACCAATAGCTTTACAAGCTTGAAATCAAACATGTAAAAACAGCACAACTTTAATTTGATCAGTCAGTGCAGTTATGAGTACAGTAGTCCCTCGCTACTTCGCGGTTCGTTTATCGTGGATTCGCTATATCGCGGATTTTCAAAGTAAGATTGGACATGACACCATCGGCTGATTGATGGATGAGCCATGGGTTGTTTATTTAAAATAAATTATTTAAATGATTATGCACCATGTGTGCAGCCAACAAGTGAAGGGAAAGCTCCCTCCTGCAGCTGATCAGCTGATCTCCTTCTGTCACACACACATTTCTCCTGCTGCAGCTTTGTGAAGGGTTGTTGTCCAGATGCACCGATCGACTTTTGTCTTCCAACTTAAAAATCAAAGTATGTCGCATCGTAAAATCGTCATAATCACAAAATATAAAAGTGTTAAAAGTTATTTTTAATTATTTTAGAACTTCTGTGTTCAGTTGTTTCAGTGTAATTGATCAAGAAGTTACATTTCTGCTCCGTGCTGCAGAGCTGAAGCTGTGACATCACTTGATGTCCTGCTGCACTTCTGTTCTCTACAGTTTAAATTTAAATACTGTAACATTTTAAATAAACAATCTATGGATTGTTTATTTAAAATGTTACAGTATTTAAATTTAAACTGTTTATTTAAGGAGGGAGATTGAGAGTAACAGGTGATGAATGTGATTGTCATGACGTTTACTGAACTTGAACTACTGTATCCCTACTTTGCGGGTTTTCACTTATCGCGGGTGGGCGTGGTCCCAAACACCCGCGATAAACGAGGGACTACTTTATTAAATCCATTGTAAAATAAATAATAATAAAGATGCTGAAACTGACAAAAACAATAGGCTGACAACTTTGGTCCAACATGAGAAAATAAACTTCAACAAATCTTTGAAATGGTTCAGGAATTCTAAATATAATGTAAACTAAATAATAAAGGAGCTGAAATAAGAGGAAAAAGCAACGGCTTCACTAGCAGATATTTAAAATAAACAGCAATCAGCTCCAGTCCTTATGGATCGTCACATTGTCACGATACCCGATCTAGTAATTTCCTGTATCGATACTTGTGTCGAACCGGTGCATCTCAGTATCAAGGTGATTATTGCTAATGCCTTTCCTTCTTGGCATGGTGTTAACACACACCTCTCTGCCCTAGAACAGCAAACTGACAAACGTAAGCTCTTAAAGATGTGACTACACGTACAGGTGTTCAGTTAAAGCATTAATCATTTAATTATTATTACTGATACTGTAGAAATTGAGCTGTTTTGTTTTTTCACGCACTGATTCTGCATTTTGGATTATTTATAGACCTTAATGTGGTGATAGCGTTAATCAGAGTATTTATTTTTTTTAAACCATTTGAGAAGCAAACTCTTTAGGAGTTATGCTTCTGTTGTTTTGGTGGTGGAAGAATGTAGAGTCAGTCTGGTAACCAGACCTACACATACTTAAAGCTCTAGTCTACATTATTGAGTAAATCTATTGTTTTAAAAAAGTTTGTTTGACTTAAGTGTCGAGATCGTTTATATTTCTAATGTCAGTAGTCCATATGTATTAAATATTTCCAGCAGGTTGCAGCAGTCAGTGTTTAGCTGCAGCTCTGATGATACAAACAGCAACAGTAGTAGCTGTGAAACGGTGTTTTAATGAAATCTTTCCATTGTTTTCATGCTGTCTTTGTCATGTTGCAAAGTAAGTTTTTCTCCTCAGTCACTTTTAACTGTGGTCATTTTTAATATTAATCGTAAAACGTGCAGCAAGGTCAGAGAATAAACAAATATCTGGGAAAAAAAGTCATAAGAACAAATGAAGAAAAATCTCAAATTGTCATTAAATGTCCAAAGATTGCCTCAAAAAGTCGCCATAATGAAAATTTAAAGAAACGTTTATCAAGTTTCATGATGAACTTGTCAAAAGACTAAATATTTGGAAACAAAAAAAAAAGAACAGTTGAATCTAATACTGTGATTTAGATGAGTGGGGGTCCACCTCTTGGCCAAAAGCACTTTTTTTTTTTATCTCTGGCAATTTTTTTTATAAATTATGCAGCCCCAAATGAAAATATATAATTTTTATTAATAAATCTCAGGCAGCTGAGACCATCAGTCCCTGACTTAACCCCGCCCACATCAGACTTGCTCATTTTCTGACCCGGCTGCATTTTGTTCTACTTCCTGTGACCCGTGTCTCTAACGGACCTCTGTCTCCTCGCAGCCATTCAAGGCTTCAACCCGCAGCACAAAATCCAGAGCTTCGAGGAGGCCCGAGGTCTGGACCTGATCAACGAGAGGATGCCCCCGCGCCGCGACAGCAAGCAGTACGAGGCACCCCCCTCCGTCAACAACCTGCCGGCCAGCACCGGACCCCCAGACAACAACAGCACCAACGCTCAGGCCTAGTTCTTCCCCGCCCAGCCGCCCTCATCCCCATCCTCCCCCTCCTCTTCTCCTGTCCCGCTTCCTTTCCTTCTCTCCCGTCCTCAGAACGGAGGGCGGGGCCGTTCAGTCCGAACGCTTATTTATTTCATCATCGAGTAAATATCCGAGTTTCAGACTGAACAGAGAAAATCTCAAAGTGAGCAGAACTCCAGGCTGCTGGTACTCCACACCTGTGTGCCAGCGTTCTGTCTTCTTCTTTTTCTCTTGACATTTGGGGCGGAAGTGATGCTCATTCAGTTGCTTTTTTTGTGCGCACACACAAACACACACACACTTACCCACACACACACACACACCTACACACAGACTTTCACTCTCATCTGTTTCTTATGCCAATGATAGTGTGACTGAGCTCCACAGAGCAAGTATTGACATTTATACTATATATGTATATTTTAACTGTTCCCTCTTTTCAAAGTGACGTTTTTCTTTTCTTTTTTTAAACAACACATAGTCTATCAATAGCTGGGTGGGGTGGGGGAGCTAAGCAGAAGAGTTTAAAGGTTATTCCGCTTCAATGACTCAAAAACCCAAAATGTAAAAAAGCCACATCCTGGTTTGTTGAGTTCAGAAGTTGTAGTGTTTTTTTTTCTGCTGAGGAAAGACCACCAGGATGTGTGTTCGAACCCTACAATATTTAACAGACAGGTATGTAGAAACAAAAGAGGAAGAGGGTCATAAGTCGAAAAAAGAAACAAATCTTCTGTTTTCTTTTTGGATCTTGGCCCTCCGGCCCGTGAGCTTTGTCTTACTTGGTCAGATCGTTCCTCGTTGGTTCAGGTCTTCCAGCAGTCGATACAAAATGCTGCCTCTGCTCTTCACATGAGTGTTGCTCGTTAAAAAATAAGGCTTTTTTAAGAGACTGTGTTTAGACTTGGATGGCAGTTAGTCTGTCATTATTTTAAACTACTCAAGAGTTGTGTAAAAAAAACTATCCAAAGTGTTGCATTCTCTTTTGAAGTATTAATTACAACAGAATATTAATTGAAAATGTTAAAAAATACGATAGTCAGAATTTGAAAATATATTTTAAAAAATTGAATTTGTACAAAACCATAATTTACGTAATGACATAAAAACACTGAATATTTTAAATAAAATGTCATCTAACGGTAATAAAGTTTGAGAACTCTGCATTCATCGATCTGATTTTTTTTTTAAATATAATAAACTTTCAAATTAAACTACAAAATATTAAAGCATTCTGATGTTTGAGAACGGCGACCGTTAATAAAATCAACAGAATGAAACGTCCAAATGTTTGAAATTTTTGATAAGAGGTCAGTGAGATCAAGAACATTGTCAATTTTTTTAACTCATTATTCTGAGAAAATAAAAATTAAGAACAGGAGAAGGTGGTTAAATTGAAAAACTTTAGGAAAACTTCAGAATTCTTCAGTACGCTAAAAAAAAATATATATTAAAATAGTTTTAAAAAATAATGATCTAGCTGCTTCTGTTCCAGGATGAAATAAAATCAACAACGTTGATGAATCCGTGGCTCCGTTTCTGATAAAACCAAGAAACAAGTTTTAATAAAGTGGAATAATCCTTTAAATTAAAAACACAGTAAATAACCATATAAAGCAGAGTGGGGTGTATTCCTGGGCTTCAGGTGTGTTTCTGGGGGGGATGAGCACCTGGGTGAGTTGGAGCTGATCATGTGACGCTTTATGTTGGCTGGAGGACGTCTGGAGTGCTTCAGGCCTCGTTTCTCAGAGCATATCTCACAGAATGTACAGAAACCGTTTGTTTTTCTTTACAGATGAGTCTTTTTTTTTTTCTCTCGACTTCATAAACTGTGAGGCCTCTCATTTCTGTAGACGTTTCACTCCATTCAAATAAAAGAGTAAATAAAAACCAAGGAAAACGGAAAAAGAAAGCTGCAGCTGGTGTCGGTCTGTCTGAATCGTGCTCTCGGCGCTCAAGGACGCCGAGCGGCCGCCTGTCGGAGGCGTGCGTGGGAGCTGCTACCTGGAGACCCCCACGTCTCTTAGCAACACGGACCCTCCACATCGCAGCCTGCGGCTCACTCCTGATGAAGAGCAGCGAGGCTGAAGGTCACGACAGTAAAAACTCCAGCAGCAGCAGGGGAGTTTGAATGCAGCACAGCTGTAACAACAAGAATGAGTGCTCCCGCAGCAGCTGGAAACATCAGCTTTTATGACGGAGACTAATGAGACGAGGTGTAAAAGTTTCCTCCCCCGCTTCCACGCGTCTGTCCGACGAGATCTGCGCCTTTTTTTTTTTTAATTCCTGCGTCCGGTGCAGAGATCACATCCAGGGAGGGGTTCAAACGGGATGAAAGGCAGACTTCTCAGAGGGATGCAGAGGAGGTGGAGGTGGGAACATGAAGGTGAAGAGGCAGGGAACAAAGAAAAGTTAAAGGGGTATTTTGAAATGGGGTTTTGTAAAAAGGTCATGTTCAAATCGCTTGTGTGCTACAACCCGGTTCCACTAATGTTTGATAGTTTGTCAAATGGAAATAAAACCAAAATGCTACAATTTTCAAATCTGAAGAACCCATATTATTCATAATGGAACACGGTAAACATAATAAAATGTTTAAACTAAGACATTGTACCTTTTTTTTATTCATTCATCCTTTATTTATTCAGGTTAGTCTCATTGAACCTCAAGGACTCCTTTACAAGAGACACCCGACTTTAACAAAGAGTGATGACAACAATAGACGACGATAAAAGAAAATGTATATATGAAAGAAAATTATATTTAAAAAGCTAGATCTGAATTTGCTGGCAGCAATAAACCTCAAGAAGTGGAGAGGGAACAAAAGGCTAAAAGTATGAGGGGGGGGGGGTACATAAACTAATTGTCGACATGTCCGTAAGAGGACTGGATATAAAAAGAGCTTTTAAAAGCGGGCGGCACAGTGGTGCAGTTGTTAGCGCTGCCGCCTCTCAGCAAGAAGGTTGCTGGATAAAATCCCAGTGGGGGGCCTTTCTGGGTGGAGTTTGCATGTTCTCTCCTTGCATGCGTGGATTTCCTCCGAGTACTCCGGTTTACTCCCACAGACCAAAAACATGCATGTTAGACTGATTGGTAACTAAATTGTCCCTTGTGTGAGAGAGAATGAATGTTTTTTGTCTCTATGTCCTTGTGATGGACTGGAGTCCTGTCCAGGGTGTACCCTGCCTCGCACACAATGACCCCCGCAACCCAAAAAGGAAGAAGCGGCTAAGTATAATGGATGGATTATTCAGAAGTAAACGTAAAGTGTTCACCAGTCTGTGAAAGTGTCTAAAAGTAGTGGAGCAACTTCAGAATAAAGTTTCTCAATGGAAACTGTTGAAGGTTGGAATATTCATCCAACCTTTATTTCCACAGGTTCGTCTCACTGAGCCTCGAGGACTCATTTACAAGAGAGACCTGTTGGAATATCCCATCATCCATAGTTCATGTCATCATTGAAACATTTCCACAATCAAAATGTCTGAGCTTCAAAGCTGTCAGTATTGGATGGTCGTGATCTTCAGGAATCACTGCAATAAGAACAGGTATGATTCTGTTCTGGACATCACTACGTGGTTAAAAAAACACTTTCCCAAGTCCTTGTGTGTAAACACAGTTCACAGTGTCGTCTGCAAACGCTGGTTAAAGCTCTACCCTGCAAAGAGCAAAACAAATCTTGCACCAACAACCCATCAGAGACCAGATGAAAATTAAACTGACTAAATGTGTCACATTTACACAAAGTGTCTTTGTTATACTCGTTTTTCATTAATGTTCATTGTGTCTCTCTTTAAAATTAATATATGAACACCATCCAGGAACGCTGTCGTCTTGTCTGAACCAAAATGGAAAACTGTTCAGTTGTAAGACGAATCAAAATTTGACAAGCTTTTTGGAAACCACAGACACCACATCCTCCATACTAAAGAGTACTGTGACCAGACGATTTTATCAGCTCACAGTTATAAAGCCTGCCTCTCTGATGGTATGGGAGTGCATTAGTGCTTATGGCATGGGTAGCTTCTGTTTTTATTCACATTTTATACAACGTCCTAACTTTGTTGGGGTTATCCAACATTTTTCAGTCATGATATCTGGACAGTTTCTTTTTTTGTTCGATCCAGAAGGCTTCATCAGTCAAGGAAACGCACAACACAAAACTGATTCTTCCCCCAACAGCTTACTCCAAAATGGAACCAGTTTTGTTGGTGCTAAGATGGTTTCTTTAGTACGCCCCCTCCTCCATTGACGACCCTCTTCCTTGTTGACAGTCATGTCAAACTGGTTGAAAACAACAAAGTCCATGCTCAATAATCCAGGTAGACCAACATTTTTCAGGTCATCTGGACAGTTTCTTTTTTTGTGCTGAAACGTTTCGCCTTCGATCCAGAAGGCTTCATCAGTCAAGGAAACGCACAACACAAAACTGATTCTTCTTGTTGGGGTTAGTAGCTCTTTGACTATTAGTTTGGGGGGAAAAGTTTTTGGTTCGTCCAGAAACGACAGGTGGGCTTCTGATTTTCTGAAGAGGTTCCGTTCTCAAAGTTCAAGTGAGCGCTGCTTTAGACAACTTGATAAAGACGTCAGTTCTGCATATCCGCAGCACTGGATGCATGAAACCCTATGAAGCTTCTGATGATGGATCTGTTATAAAGTCAGAAATTCACTGTGAACACATTAGAAACAGGTCATCCAAAGATTTATCTACAGCAGGTAAGATAGTAAATGTTCATAGATAGTAAATGTTCATAAGCTTTCTACAGAACCCCACTTCATGACTGATATTTAAAAAATCCTTTGAATGAAACGAAACCTCAGTTTTACAAAAAATATTTATATTGTTGTTTGTTTTATAGATACTGTACAGTATTGAGCTATTTTTTTTGTGTGTGGTAGTAGCTGGAAGTCATCTCCAGCACCTACTCTGAGCAATAACTGATCATGTGAGATCTTTGTTAGTAATTTTGCTATGAATTACAGTGGACAATATGCAATCCTTTAAGGAATATTTTCATTTCCCTAATAAACCTGGTTGACTATATTTCAGTTGTAAGGTGGGATCGGTTAACCAAAAAACAAAATGAGACTGTTGGCTTCTATTCTGCACCTGGGGTGTAGACATTTGGACCAATTAAGTTTTGCCTTTCCAGTTTATTTTATACCTAGATTCAGTTGTGCTGAGGGAGTTCGCCCAGTATTTACAGTCTGTGGACGCCCTCTTCTGGAACGACTCTAAACTCCAGGTTTCCATCGCACATATTTTCCTCTGAATTTCCTGATGGGATCCATCCATCCATCCATTTTCTTTACCCGCTTTTTCCATTTTGGGTCACGGGGGTGCAACATGAAGACGACAAACATTCAGAGAAATTTGAGACGTTTGTCGTATTTTTGTAGACAATTTGAAATAATCCTTTCCAACAGTTTTAGCTTTTCCCTCATTCTGTCTGATCTCATGTCATCTTGTTAGATTTCACATTAAAGCTCCTGACTGTACCCTCATCACTGGGTGGAGCTCTGCTCCTCTTCCTCTTCCTCTTCTTGCCCTCAAAGCAAACACAGGCCAGCCTGGGTGTCATGAGTGTGTTAGATCAGCTTCGAGGGTGTCATGTGACCCACTGTGAGCAGAGTGGACCTATAGTTGTCCTTGCAGGACCACTGAGGGTGTCTCTGTTCATGGAGGTGTTTTTCCTCATCAGCCTGTCAGAAATATTCATGTTTTCCACCAGGAGACAGAGACCTCTGTGGACAAACGACATGACAGCTTCTACAGAAACACATCCACACATCGGTTTCCTCCTCCTGAGTCTTTCTGCAGGAACAAAGCAGAAAAAGAGCCCAGTTAGAGATGACATGTTGTCATGGTGACGGTCTGAGTGAAGATGAAGACGTTTGAACGACTGAGCTGTGATTGTAGACAATCCTGATCCACAGACGCAGATCAGAACCAGCCAGTGTGAAGAAACAAGAAGTCCAAACTTACTATGATCTGAGGAGCTGCATGAGGAAGAACCTTATCCAGCACCACTCCGTTCCTGATCACATAAACACAAACACACACAGATGATATGCACGTTCTTGTAAACATACTTTTTGGGGACTTTGCATTGACATCCATTCATTTTCTATAGCCTAACTCTGACCCTTACCCTAAACCTAATCATTACTAGGACATGCTAACCCGAACCCATCCGCATATTCACACCTTAGTCCTAAACCTAACCCCTAACCCCCCAACGAGACTTCTCCTTATGGGGACCTGGCTTTGGTCTCCATAAAGAACAGTTGGTTCCCACAACGTATTATTTTTTTTGTAAAATTGGTCCCTACAAGGTAACCTGAAACAAAAACGCACACACACAGAGGCTGGTGTTTAGTCAGTTCAGAAACTCGTCAAACTTACTCTGGTCTGCTGGTGTTCAGAGGAGCTGCATGAGGAAGAACCTTATTCAGTACCGCTCTGTTCCTTATCAAATAAACACACACGCACACACACACACAAAGAGAGAGAGATGATATGCACATACACAGAGGCTCAGCAGTGGTGTTTAATCACCAAATTAATCTGTACTGCCATTGATAAGTTACTCTTCAATTTTACATGGAAAAATAAAACACGTTATGTGAACAAATCTGTTATTACATACGCACCATGCGTGGTTTAAACCAGGGGCGATTCTAGAATCTGACCTTTAGGGGTGCTTAGCCCCCAGCGCTGACAACGGCTCTCGGCTTGAACAACATGGGGTCCATTAGCATAAGAAGCATTCATAATGTGGGGGAGGCGTGCTGGTGGGGGGGTCTGGGGGTCCTCCCCCATAAAAGTTTGAATAAAGTAGATGACATTTCCTGCATTCTGGTCTATTATAATGGGTTTTAAATGTCTATGTTGACCTATGTAAGTAAACACTTGATTCGGTAACTATTTTAGAAAGCATGGCACAACAACAAGTAGCACTGAAGTGTGCAATACAGATGCACTAGCTAAGATGCTACAGACGTGGCGCTCTGCTTTACATTACACAACCTAATTAACGCTTTGTACAAAATGAATTTAATATTAACTGATCTGCAACCAGAAGTTGCAACATGGCTATATCTACAAAACACACAAAACAAAGCACAACTCCCTTAACAAAAAGTAGTACATCCATCCATCCATCCATTTTCTTTACCCGCTTATTCCATTTTGGGTCACGGGGG